TTTTAGTTGTCCAGATCATTTCTTTCTATTTTTTAGTAGAGACGGGGGTCTCGCTCTTGCTCAGGCTGGTCTCGAACTCCTGACCTTGAGCCATCCACTGGCCTCAGCCTCCCAGAGTGCTAGGATTATAGGCGTGAGCCACCGCGCCCGGCCCTAACTTACTTTTTAAGTGTATATTTCCACAAGTAAATTATATCTAGAGATTAGAAAAGAACTTGCCATATTTCAACCTTGCCTAGATAGCTTTTGGGCTATATTATAATACTTGTCTACTTTCCATTCTCTTTTGAATATAGATTGTGGACAGGTGGGAATTCAGATCAACAGGAAGCCTTGGAAGACTTTACACCCTTTCCTGCTCCCTCCCCAGGAGTGTGTTAAAGTGAAAAACCTGCATCTTGATTGCTAGTCTGTCCTGGGTTTCAGGAGAAAATTATCCTTGAGGTTCATGTTTTGGACAGAATCGCTTAATGCAGTTCATAGCTGAAGCAGGCTCAGCTGGCCTCCATTTCGAACTATTTTCTGTTATGTTTGACCCTAGTGGCAATGATGGAGCCCATTTTTGCCCTGTGATGAGAAACAGTTTTCCTATTGATGCTAAAATTCACAGTGGCTTTCTTGAACTCCAGAGAGGAGAAAGATACTTAAACTTAAGTAGCATACCTTCTTTTTTATCCTTCACTTTATGTGTAATAGTATAAATGTGTTCTCCTCCAAAGTAATGTGAAGGGATTTTCTATCTTGTTGCATTCTCGTCAGTTGTACCTCAAGGGCTCTTCCATCCAGAGTTTGGCCACGTGCTCTGAGGAGGGAGTCCTGGACTGGGGACTGGCGTTCTTGTATCACTGCCTGCTGCCTCAGTTTCCTCTTCTGTAAGATAAGGAAGTTAGCCTAGATTGTCTTTAAGAGTCTCTCTAGCTTAGCATCGTATGATTGCGTCTACTTTCCCTCATTTTGTATCTTAAATAGATTGTTCAAGGAGGCAGTTTTGTTTTCCTCATACACTTCCAAAATTAGTCTGAAGTCTGACTTTTATAAAACCTGTATCTCAACAGTATTCCTGGGGGGGTGGAGAATAAAACCTAGGATAACATGACGGTAATCAGGAAAAGATCTGTGTGCATCGGGAGGTGTCTAGGTCAATACTTGGTCTGGGAAGGACTTGAATTCCTGGTATTTAAAGTCTTAAATTAGCAGTTTTATTTTAGTGAAAGTTAGTACTTTGTGGGTAAGAAGTGTGTTGAGTGTGCTGACATCAGACACCGTAGAGGATCTGTTCTGTGAGAATAGGATTCTTAGGTGCATTTCAATAAAATACCGTTATATATTAATAACTAAAATGAATGTGTATGTGTGATCTTTAATGTCTCTACTGAGTTTTCAGTAACTTTCAACAGATGGTTTCCTCCCCTCGTCTTTGCATTTTTCCTGCCTCCTCCCATTACCCCTTTCTGAAAAGAGGCAAATGATGGTCATAATTGAAGTAATGGCTTGAAAGCCATTCATCAGCTAAGTGGAAAAGAATTATTTTTTACTTTAAATTTCCTTTGGGATTACTTAGGATCTGTTCTTTTAGTAAGAATACAATTCATTTGTAACAGCTGATCTCAGTTGGGAAGGTTTTGCTGGGGCTTATATTTCATATTTTAAAGTGGGCTTCCTATAAGCTGACATTGTAGCAAGAATGCATTTAGCATTTACTTGAGAAAAGCAGTCTATGAGCTGTTCCTGTTTGATACTATGTAAAAACACAGAATATGTTTAGATGGGGTTTTTTCTTCCAAGACACTTAGATCTAAAAGGAGTTACAAACATCGTGAATGTAGCGGTAAAGCAGTAGCTTTGGTGATTTATGTTAGAGGAGAAGTTTCCTGGATTTCTATGCCTGGGGTCTTCGGCTTGGATTTAAAACAAGTTAATTAAAGTATCCTGCTGCTCAGGAGCTTGACCACTGAAACATTCCTTTCTCTCCCTCTCCCTCTTTCTCTCACATCTGTCCTGCCATCTCTCAGAAGATGAAAAGGCAAAGAGAGAAGTGTCTTCCTGGACTGTAGAAGGTGATATTAACACTGACCCATGGGCAGGGTATCGGTATACTGGTAAACTCAGACCGCATTATCCACTGGTGAGTAAATAAGGTAATCAGAATTTAACATTACAATTTTCAGTTCCCTAAAATTGATACTTGTAATTTATATTCCAATAGTGAATCATATAATCAGGATTAAGTTTGCAAAGGAACTTGCATTCTAGCTCTTTAGCTCTTACGGTGCATTATTTGGGAGCTTGTAGGAATAACTGGCAATCATGGAAGAATTGGAAAACATTTTAAATGAAAGACTAAAAGTTTTTTAATTTTTAAAAAGTATGGGGTAAAGTGGAACAGCTGTTTTGTGACCAGCCTGATGGTGGTATATACAGTTGTTTCTCGGTACACCCCCACCCAGTCCCCCACCCCTGTGCGGAAACCAAAATCTACCGATGCTCAAGTCCCTTAAAGTCAGCCTTGGGTATCCACCGGTTTTGCGTCCGTGGATTCTGCATCAGTGGACTCAGCCAACCGCAGGTAAATATTTTCCATCCACAGTTGGTTGAATCCAGGATGTGGAGCCTGCAGATACGGAGGACTGATTGTATTATACTTCTCTGAAGTTTTTTTATTGTGATGTATTTCTACCTAAATTTAGATACGGCTTTTCTGCAGTTTTTTCCCTTCCTATGTTGTCGGCAGATAGGAGTCTCAGTTTTAACATAGATACTCACACAAGTTGAAATCTCTTTGTCATCCTTAAATATTTAAATTCTCTTTACTGATGAGTTTCTTTTAATAAAGGGAATATATTTTGAATTTTAAAAATTTGGAAAAATATGAAAAACATAAAGTCTCCTCAATCCTACCTTCCAGAGATAATCACTAGGAATATGTTGGTGTATGTTGACTTTGAGACGTTTTATTGTTGTTGTTAGCGTGCCAGTCTGGAACAGCACGGACACCTTGTAGTCTGCATGTGATCTTAAATCCTTAGTGGCCTTGACCACGTTCCCCTTTATTCAGTATCCTAAGAAAGAGTTGGCGTTAACACTAAGAGAGCTTCATCTTAGTGAAATAGATACCTGTTAGGATATTTAAATTGTCACTTAAAACTTTTTTCATTCAAAAACTTCTGAATGAACTTTTTAGTGTTTTTTCCTCCATTTTTCTTACCTGTTTATTTATTTTAGTAAATCAGTTCTAACTAGCCTCTTTGATGTTTTCAGATGCCAACAAGGCCAGTGCCAAGTTATATCCAAAGACCAGATTATGCTGATCATCCCTTAGGTAAGTTCTGCTATTCCGATTCTTCATTTTCCCATCTGTGGGCTTGACGATTACTGCAAAGGGAAGGATTGCTTTTCTTATAGAAATCTTTCAGTGCTGGGCTTCTAATAAACGTAAACGTTGTGTTTTCAAGCTGTATTCAAACATTCAAGGGAATTAAAAATTCTTTCCCCTCATCAGAAATCTACCCAGTTCTGAAAATACTGTTTATGTAGATGTTAAAGACTGCATTCAAAAATAATACTGTATTTGTGGTGTTACATCAACTTCCAGATTAAAAACAGTTTTGATTTTTACCATGTCCTCCTACCTAAAGTAAACATCATCTATTTAGATAAAAGTAGGTTGTAAAGGCCTGAGTGAATGCCTGACTAAGGACTTTGGACTGTAACAGTAGCAGAAAGAGTAATAATGGTGGTGATAATGATAGTAGTGAGGAGAATGGTGATGATGACGATTCTGTAATAGTAACTGGCATTGGTTTTTGCCTAACTGTGTGTCAGGCACTGTGCTAAGTTCTTTGCCATGTGTTACTCCATTTAACACTTGCAACACTCCTGAGGTAGGTTCTGTCCTCTTCTCCGGTTTATAGATGATAATAGGGAGACATCCAGAGAAGATAGGTGATTTGCAAAACAAGTCAATGGAGTAGTCTCTGACCTTAGGGCTTGTACATATAATTGAAATTGGACTATCCGAAATTACTGATTTTGCCTGTCAAAAATGGTTGAATATCAGCAGTTTCATGTGGTTTAATCTAGGAAGCTAAGCTGTCTTTGCTTTGTCTAAGAAGTGGAGAGCTTTATTAAGTTCTTATGGATATAATTTTAAAATCTAGTTAAACACCACCATTACAGATAAATGGAAGGAAAAGACAATCTCAATGATAGAAGACTGTTTATTAATAATACTACTCTATTTAATATTCTTAAGTAGGATATTAACTTGTATTTTTAAAAATCTACATAAACAAGGTAAATTCTAATACAATGAAATGTTACACAGTGAAAAGTTCGTCCTCCTGCTTAGAGGTAACCACTATTACCAGTTTCTTGCAGAAGTTTAAAGAGATGTTCTGTATGTGTGAACACATTAGAGCGCCACCTCCACCCAACATTTATGCACTAAGAGAACAAACTGTACACACCTTGCTTGCTGTGTTCTCTTAATATGTCTTGGAAATATTCCATATAAGCCCATGTAAAGCAAACCCTTTCTTTTCAGTGACTGAAGTATTCCATTGTGTAGATGTATCGTAATTTATTAAACTAGACGCTTACTAATGGATGTTTAGATTTTTTCCAGGTTTTTTTTGCTTCTACCAATTTTCAGTAACTGTTTTTGTGCTTACATCTTTGTGTGTGAGAGTATTTTTGTAGGTTAATAGCTTTAAGTAAAATAGGTGAATCAGAAGATATGTACATTTTTGATTTTGAGAGTTACCACTGATTTCAGTGATTTTTGCCAATTGTTATTTCCATTAAAAACATATGGGAATTTCTTTTCTCCTATATCTGTCCCAGCATAGTGTGTTATCAAGCTTTATGATCTTTGCTAATCTGAAAGATGAAAAATGGTATTTTGCTGTTATTTTAATTTGCATTTTAAAATTATAGGTAAGGTTGAGCATCCTCGTATATATTAAAAGTGATTTGTGGTTTTTTTTTTTTTTCCTCTTGAATTGTCTATTCATATCCTTTACCTTTTTTTCCCTGTTAGGTTACTAGTTTTTTCCATATTAATTTATAAATGTTATTTCTATATTAAGGTGATCCTTCGATGTATGTCCTAAAAATGTTTTTTCCCAATTGACCATTTTGTATTTTGTTGTTATAAAAATTTATCAGTGTTTTCTTTTAAAGTGTATATGGTTTTATGACTTAGAAAAACCTTTCTGATTCAAGAAGTTATAAAATTATTTTCCTGTGTTCTCTTTCATTATTTTTATGGTTTCAGTCTTTTTGTGTGTATGATAAAAATTTGTGATCTAGCTGAATCTTATTTAGTAGTGGGAGTTAAATAGGGATGCAACTTAATTTTTTTCTCAGAAGAATACCTGGTTATCACATCACCGGTTATTTAAAAAATCAATCTTTTCCTTATAGGTTTGAAATGCAGCCTATATCATTGTATTACATTCTCATATTTCTTTGGGTTTGTTGTTGGATTCTGTTCTGTTTCATTAACCCATTTGTCTGATCATGTGCCATTGCCAAACTATTACAGCTGTACAATGTTTTAATCCTTGGTAGGCCTGTTTACCCACCTTTCCTCTTTTTCAGAATTTTCCTGGCTATTCTTGCATGTTTGTTTTTCCATGTGAAATTTAGAATCAGCTTGTCTGGTTACCAAAATTATCCTGTTGGCATTTTTGTATTGGGATAGTATTAAATTTATAGATTAATTTTGGAAGAATTGGCACCTTTACAATATTGAGTCTTCCTATCCAAGAACAGGGTATGTTTTTCTATCTTATTTAAGTCTCTTTTTTATATCTTTCAGTAGTGTTCTCAGATTTTCTTCATATGTGTCTTTTATTGTTAAGTTTATTCCCGAGTACATTCTTTTTAGTTATTTTTGTGAATAGTATCTTCTGTATTTTTTTAGCTCATTGTATGTATATGGGAAAGTTATTTATTTTGTTATATTTACCTTATAATCTGCCGACTTGCTGAATTCTTACTTCTAGTCATTTGCCAGATTCTTTTGTTCTAGAGGTGTATAATCGTACTTGATATTAATAAGAATTTTGTCTTTTCTAATTTTATGTGTCTTATTTCTTTCTCTTATTTAATTGCATGTGCTAATAGTATTGCCAAAACATTGTTAAATAATAGGGCTGATAGTGTGCATTCTGTGATGTTGGTTTTTGGTTTGAGATTTATATTAATATTTATCATGTTAAGGTGGTAGCTGGTCATGTTATTGGAATTATCTTTCTTTTTCAATGATCATTTGTTTTTCCTTCTTCAATTTATGACTGTGATGAGTTAGATAAATAGATTTGCTAATATCGAACTATTCCTGCCTTCTTGTTATGAATTTCACTTAACTCATGGTGTATTATGCGTTTATTGGATTCTGTTTGTTAATATTTTATTTGGCCATTACTACTTACAAATAAGATGAGTTGATGATTCTGTTATTTTCGTGAGATTTTGAAATAATTGCTGTACTGGCTTTATTACTTTTAAATTCATGTAAAATTTGAATTAAGTAACAGATTTTATTAGTGAAGGTTCTTAGGGTAGTATTTTTTAAACTTTTTTTGACTATGACCCAGAGTGAGAAATGGATTTTATAACATGGTCTTCGTATGTGCATGTATCTATAAATTAACAAACATTTCACAGAGCACTTACTCTATATAATATAATCTATTGTTTTCTATTCCATTTATTTACTTTCTGAAAAATGTTAGTTGTAGCCCACCAAAAGGTCACAAACTGCAGTTTTAAAGATATTGACTTAGGTTCCTGCTTCAGAAAATAGTGTAATTGACTCATCATTTGTTGCTATATAGTTGCTTCATGAGATGATGACCATGAAAACAATTTGTCAGTTGTGTGGTACTGTTCAAATATGATTTATTTACTGAGCTTATTAGCACATTGCCTGACATATAATAAGTACTCCATAAATATTGACTAATTTCTGATAGATCTGAAGTTCTTTAGAATTTTTTCTCCAGTTTGTTTAGCACATTTTCTTTTCATGTTGAAAATATTTTAAAAATAATCTAACCTGGAACCCACTAGATTATGAAATACCATTGTGTGAAACAGTGAGACTTGACTATTATTATGTCATCAGGGATATAATTATGCCAATAAATACTCTTGCCTTTCATTTTAGTTTTACTTACCAATTTTCTATTCCAGGAATGTCTGAATCTGAACAGGCTCTTAAAGGTACTTCGCAAATTAAATTACTCTCATCCGAAGATGTAGAAGGGATGAGACTTGTATGTAGGGTAAGAGCTTTTTTTTTTTTTTTCCACCACGGAGTAGCACATGTTCAAGTAGTACTTAGTACTTAGTGATTTGCTGATTGATAAAGGTATCAAATGTTACATTGTAAGACTATGTATGACTAGCCATACTTATTTTTCATTGAACTATTGTTAGAATATAATTTTAGCCAATAATTCTTTAATACTTAAATATTTGAAAATTAATCTGGTAGGTAATCTATATTTAGATGACAATCATTTTCTTTTACCCCTTGTATTTTTTTTTTTAAGAACCAGGCTTTTATGATATTTTTTTTTTTTTTTTTCACAAATTGGCATAACATAGGACAAAGTTTAAGACTTAAAGAGGTAACACTAACGGACCTGTTGTGAAGTACCTATGATATATGGTAGTAGTGGTTGTGCTTTAACAGATGAACTCACGGGTTTCTATTTTTCTAAAGAAAAATAATTGATACTCTTCATTTAGATGTGATTTTTAAGATTTTTTTATGCAGTGCTTTAAAAGTGATTTGATATTGATTTCCTTTGGTCATCTAGAAAATTTTATATTCCTTTCACTTATTTGCTCTGATTCTTTGAAGATATTCATTCATTTATTCTTTTATTTCCTTCCACCCTACCCCATTATAGAAATGTGTGAAGACTTAGCGTCCACAATTGATTACTGTTTAGATCACTTAGGATGTACATTTTCATATAGAAATCAGTTAAGCTTACTTATTAAGCTATTTGCTAGTTAGCTAATTATTATATAAAATTTATATATACTTATATATTTTATTTACTTGTATTTATATATTATATAATATATTTATATATCTTATAAAATTGTAATATTCAAGGAAGAGTCATTTTACTAATCTTCCACAAAATCTAAGACAGTCCACAAGGTACACATTTCTGTTTGTATTTCATTTCTTTTGAATATATTAAATATTCATTTTTTCCAGCTTGCTAGAGAAGTTTTGGATATTGCTGCTGGGATGATTAAACCAGGTGTAACTACTGAAGAAATAGATCATGCTGTACACTTAGTAAGAACTTTACTTTTTTACTTTGGAAAAAATTTTCACGTAATTAAATGTTTTAGACTTCAAAATTAAGGAAACTTAAGAATGTCTAAAGTAACCTGGTTGAGCTAATTTGAATGCAGGTTTTTGCTTTGTTTCGACTATGGAAAACATTCACTAGTCCTTATTCCCATCTCTAAGTATCTGTAATAGTAAGGTCTGAGGTGAGCTTGAAACATCTTGGTTCTGAAAGCTCATGTTTCATAAGCATTTCACTTGTACTTTTATAAAATGACTGATTTTATCAGCTCTTTAATTAAATCATGCCACTACATACATCAAATATTCTGAAATAAAAGAATATGACTTCTGAAGCTAGATTAGTAGAAACAAATGTTCCCTTTCATATCCACAGTAACAGGGTAATAAATAGTCTAGATAAATATTTATAGTAAATACGATACATGGTTTTTAAAATATAAAGATTGCCTGTCCATCAAAGAGAGACCGTAAGACTTTAGTAGATGAGGACACACGTAGGAACAGCTTGTTCACAAAAGAAGAATGGTAGCTAGTTAATACGACACCTGGATATGGACCAGACTTGCTCTGGTAATCCACCAACGCAGGTTATAACGACCTAGTAAATTAGTGTTTTTAAAGATGTTGATGTCCATCACTTGTGTGGAGATGACGAAACTGGTACTGGTGATCTTTTGCTTGGTGGTGGTATTGTAAATTGGGGCAGTCCTTTTGAAAGGATTTGAAAGTGTGTCTTGAGCTATGGAAATGTTTATAAATTTTTTTGTTCAGAATTTTATAAATCCTGATTTGGGGATATTGTTCCGTATGTTAGTATAAAATGCAGAGCTTGCAGTCGTAGTATTTTGAGTGCTTTTTGGGAGCCAGGTGCTCTTTTAAGTGCTTTTACATTAACTCATTTAGTCTCCCCAACAACCTCTAGAGGTAGGTACCGTTACTTCTGTTTTGTAGATAAGGAAACTGAGGAAGAGAGAGATTAAGTTGTCCAAAGTTACACAACTTGTAAGTGATGGAGTTGACATTTTCAATCAAGACAGTCTGATTCTGTGTGCTCTCAACTATTCTTTATACTGATATAAGAAGTATAGAAGTTTCTCCCTAAATAAGGGAAAAGCCACAGGATGCGTAGTTATTCGTTGTAGGATTTTTTTTGTAATTGAGGAAACTTCAAATTAATTTAGATTTCCAATAATAGTAGTATAATCATGCTAGTGGTATAATTGCTAGTAGTGTAATTATGGTATATTTCACAAATGGTATTTTATGTAACCATTACAAAATTATCAGCCTAAAAACTGTGGCAATATAGAATCAGAAATCCGTATGCTGTGATTACCACTGTGTGAGAACATCCAAATAAAATAAGGCTTATTATAGAAACCAAGACTATTTTTTCTCTAAGAATTTCATTTTTGTTCCACTGAATATGGTGATTAAAGTATCTCTGGAAGTACTTTACCATTTCTTAATTATACTAGCATTCACTTTTTGATCCTAAGGATATAGGATTGTTTCTCTATTAGAAATTATAATTACATCAAAATGCTTGTTAATATTTACTTTAAATACCTGTTTACTTCAAATAACATATTTTTCATAAGGAGTAGTTAATTCTAAAGTAACACTTGTATGTTTATAATATGGGTTGAATATCCCTTATCTGAAATGCTTGGTACTAGAAGTGTTTCAGATTTCAGATTTATTTGGATTTTGGAAGATTTGAATTAGGCTTAACTTGTTGAGCGTCCCTAATCTGAAAATTTGAAATCCAAAATGCTCTAATAAACATTTCCTTTGAGTGTCATGTTGGTGCTCAAAAGCTTCAGATTTTGGAGCATTTTGGATTCTCAGGTTAGTAATACTCAACCTGAATGTGAATTTGCTCTTCCTTTGCAAAATTACCAGTAAGATGGTTTGCATGCAGTCTATGTGACTGGCACAAACCCTGTTGTATAATGTTTAAGGTAATATCTGCTACTATTTCTAAAACAAAATATTAAATAAGTTCTTTATGGTAGCGTCTGTTCAACTTTTTTCACATTTTTCAATTTATTCATTGTATATAGATTGTTTTTCCTTTTGCACATTGCAAATTATTTTCTCTGTGTTTTAATTTATTATAGGCATGCATTGCAAGAAATTGCTACCCTTCTCCCCTGAATTATTATAATTTCCCAAAGTCTTGTTGTACCTCAGTAAATGAAGTCATCTGCCATGGAATTCCAGACAGACGGCCCTTGCAAGAGGGTGACATTGTTAATGGTAAGAAATATGTCAGTGGCTTTTGTCACCATGAGCAAAGAAACAGCAAGGTTCGGGGAGTCTGTTAGTGACTTGTGTTTTTTTCAACTTGCTTCCTGTCCTGAGACTTTTCCTATTTAAAATTCAATATCACTCTGAAATCTACAGAATCCTTTTTTTTTTTTTATACAGTTTTTTGCATGTTGTTTTTAAGGTCCTTCTAGTATGATGTGTTCGGTACAGCTTGTGTTTCTGTAATGCTTATTACCTCATTTGTGATGGGTAAATAGGGGGAAGATGTCAATTAAATGCGGAAGTGATGTTGAGTCTAGTGTGGTTTTTCGTTTGAAGTCCACTGATGGTTTTGAGGAGATCAGGGCAGGCTTTTTTACACACAAGGGGAAGCCCTTAGTAATATAGGAGGACCTTAAGAAAAAAGCTGAAAATCGTGCAGAAGTGCCTTTTTGGAGTGGAAGTGGCTTTAAAGACCCCTGTGCTAAGCTGGCTTGGGAAGCTGCAAGTGTGGAGGAAGCAGCTGCAGAGACATTGCCCTCTGAGTAAAAACCAATGCTGATGAAGAAGGCTTCCCCAGGTAGTGTTTTTAATATTGATAAAATCAGTCTCTTTAGCAATCAGACATCTTAAAGGACTTACATAAGGCTGCGGAGAATTGACCAGTTGTTACGCTGGCTGTGAATGATAGTGGAGATTTAACTGTGAAACTATTTTAATTAGAATTGTTACTGCTTTAGTTCAGGGATCTGTTTATGCAGTTGCATAGGTTTTGAGACCAACCCTGCTCTTCATATAAACCCTGTTATTTTTGTTACGTGCACAATGTCTCAGGTGTGTAAGAAACGTACGTGTTGTGCTAGGCACAAAACACCTATACTTCAATTTTGTGGGGTGATTGAAATTCATGACTTAAAAATACTCCTTTAGTGTGCTCTTTACATATACATTTAGAGTATTACACTGGTACAGTGGTAACGTATTCCTAAACATCGGGACAAAGAGACAGATGAGTATTCACAAATAAAGTGAATGGCAGATGAGTTTTTAAAATACAGTTATAGAACAGTGTAAGTTTTTCTATTTACTTATTTCCTAAGAGGAGGAAGAAACTCATTAAAGATGAATGAAGATACTATTTTGTATTTAACGTCAAAATGTAGCACAGTCCTCAGTGTAATGTTACTAAGTTGGGTTATTTACCTTGTATGATTGTATCCTGCATACATCTTTCTTCTGCTGCGAATGATCTAGTTACTGTGAGAGTATAAAGACCCACTGTTTGGCCTGTGCTGCGTGGCCACGTTCCTGTTCTCCACAGTGAGTGATACTAAACTCACGCATCGTACTCAGGGCGTTTCTGTTGGGCACTTACTCTGTATCCGTTGGTGTCTGGTTAGAGAACGCAGGAGTTTACCTTTTTCATTGAGCTGCTTGATGCTGTCATGTTGGAGAAGCTGAATTCTATGTTGCAATGAAAATAAATGTGGTCTTTATATTTGCACGTTTCTCCTGCAGTGGACATCACTCTTTATCGCAACGGTTATCACGGAGACCTGAACGAGACGTTCTTCGTTGGGGACGTGGACGAGGGAGCGCGGAAGCTCGTTCAGACCACGTACGAGTGCCTGATGCAAGCCATCGATGCAGGTCAGCCTCCGTGCGGGGCACCGGGGGCGCTGCCGTGCGCTGAGGGGCCGCGAGCGACACGTCACCACAGTGCTGTGCGTCTTTGCGCCTACCGGCTCTGCCCTGCTCTGCCCCAGTCAGCCCTGGGTTTCGGGGGCAGTGGATTCAAGTGGGGTTTGAGACTCTTGATGGCGGTGGACCAGATGATTGCTGCTCATCCTTTGTCTCTTTGATCTGTGATTTATCTTCCTTTTCTTCGCCTGATAAATGAGGAGGAGTATGCAGATGGTTTTTTAGTGCAGTTTTTATTCTACTTTTTAATTCTTTCAACTATGTAAATAACCATGTTCTCCTTATTAAAAAACTCTGAAGATTATGAGAGAAAAGTGAGTGATTCTCCTTTACACCCCTCCTCCTCTGCTTTTCATCTCTTTCTCTTCCATCTAGAGGTATCCACTGTTAACACTTAGGTTTTTTCTATCTCCTGTGCGTTAATGTATACACACACATGAATGTATTTAATTAGGTTAAATGAAATTGTAATATTCTGTAATTTGGTATTTTGCCAACTGATATCTTAGTGATCTTTCCAAATCAGCATCTGTATGTACCTACATACACAGATCTATCTCATTGTTTTAATGGATATTTATCATATTCCATAGTATCAAAATTTCTGTACCTATTTCCCTACTGGATTTTGGTGATTTCCAGATTTCTTGCTATTGTAGTGTTGGGTAGAGGTGTGAGTATTTCTGTAGGATTTTTCTCAGGCTGTCTGTCTTTGTCCATACAAACAACTTATCCAGGCTTTTTTTTAAATCAGTATCTTGTGGGGATGAGAGAAGGAAAGGAAAGCTGTTAACAACGGCTTTTTGGAGTTGTTAACAGACTGTTAATACAAACGCAAACAGCTTGCCGGTTAAATCCTTACCATTCGCACTTTATTATTCAGTGTATTACCTGCGTCCCCCCATCCCCTCTAGAAAACCCTGATACATCATCAACAGAATATTGAACAGGACAGAGTTTTTAGACAAACATAATTATCTCCAATAACATTGACCCATTATTTTTATTGTTTTTAGTTCATTCTTTAACATGCATGGGAGATAAAGTTTTTATTTAATAAAGTTGGAGGAATGAAAATAAAAGAATATATTTTTGTTTATCAGTATGTAAAATTTTTTTATCAGCCACTATTGATTATTTTAGTATGCTAGGTGGAACTGCAAGATAAGAATTTTATTGTTTAGTTTCTCATTTGTGAAAGCTTCAGTTTTAAATAAGTTATAGGTTTTTTTTTTTCCCCAGATAATATATTCAATGTTTATATCCTTTTTCCTTTTCTATTGAAAAAAGCAGACAGCTGGAATGTTGTTTTACAAAGACACGTGACGAGAACTTGTCAAGAAACTACCAGAAAGCAGCATCTTCGTAACAGTAGCCAGGAAAGAATCAAAGTTGCTTGATCTCTGGAAAGTGCTATTAATACCTTTGTATATGTCATTTTTGCCTCCTATTTTCCACTAATTTGACTGCTCACCCTGCTGTAGAACACCAGAGAGTTTGAAAAGTTGTTGAAATTAACCTTCTAGAGTAGAGTTTCTTAATCTCTGCATTTACTGCATTCTGGGCCTGATAGTTTTTGTTGCAGGGGCCTGTCCTGCTCATTGTAAGATTCTTGGCTGCATCCCTGGTCGCTAATTACTGGATGCCAGTTACACCACCCACCCCTGTATGACAACCACATGTCTCCAGATAGTAGCCTCGGGGCCAAAGTTGCCCCCAGTTTGAGAATTAAGGGAAGACTCTTCCTTGCCACCCTCCCCATGCAACATGGATTAAAATTTCGTTGTCTCCCAACCCTGGGCGGATAGGAACGAAAGAAAATCATTACAAAAGTCAGCATGTTCCTCAAATCAGAAACCCCCTTCTCCCTCCTAAAATCAAGCTGGGACATATAGTTAAGAGCAAGTAAAAATGTTAATTAAAATGATTCCTTCAGCTATTTACTGAGGAATGGATGGGGAAGATAATGTTGTACCTGAACCCCAGTTTGGAAATCAGATAGGCAGAGTAGGAGACCGTAGAGAGTTCTAGGCCCCAGGAACCATGGCTGGATTCCCCAGGAGTCTGGCAGAGCCCAGCTGCTAGGGCCTTAGTGCTAGGAGAGCCTGAACAGCAGTGAGAACCACTTTTGTTTGGTTTTCGTTGAAATGGTAGTAAAAGTCATGAAGATGAAATAGGGCAGGAAGTACATAGTGAGAAGCACCTCTCTGTAGCGTACCTCAAGAATCTTCTGCATAGTTCGAGAACCATTTTGTGGGGGATAAAGAAGCCCAGGGAAATAATTCTTTAAGAAGTTGACCAGACTGAACCTTGGGACAAGTCAGCTTGCTTTTTGGACATTCCTTTTTCTCCTGGTGCACTGTATCTCGTCTTCTTACTTTCATGGAATAGAATAGAACACTTGACCTTAGGGAAGAATGAGAAGAAAAGTATATTTTCCATTCTATTGTTTATTCTTTATCATTAGAGAAAGCAAAAGTTGCCTGTCCCCCACCCCTCAATACTGTGAAGGGCCTTCTTTTTTTGACATCAAAGGAAGAACCGCAGGGACTCCCAGTTTGAATCAGAGCTCTGCCATTTGCTGGCTTTATGGCCTCTGTGTGCCTTGGTCTCCTCATCTGTAAATTTGGGCACAGAGGCATATAAAGCGTTCAGAAAGGTTCCTGGCACACAGATAGTAATTGCTTAGTAAATGTCAGTTGTCATTATCTTTGTCATGAATCTTCTCTTTTCCTTTCAGTGAAACCTGGTGTTCGATACAGAGAACTGGGAAACATCATTCAGAAGCATGCCCAAGCAAATGGGTTTTCAGTTGTTCGGAGCTATTGTGGGCATGGAATCCACAAGCTTTTTCATACAGCCCCCAACGTGCCCCACTATGCCAGTAAGTACTGTCCAAAGATGTGGTATGTGCTAATTACTTACTTAACAAGTATTTATTCACACATTTAACAGGACTACTGTTTCTTATTCATTAATCTGTTAGCTGTAACAGACCCCCAAAATGTACATTCATTCACTCAAAACATAATTCGTGTTCATGTCTTGCTCACGTAATAGTCCAAGGCAGGTGTGTTTGGTCACTGTGGGGCAGGGCAGTTATTCTGAAACCTATAGGCTCTGTCATCTTCAACCTACGGCTTTCAGGGTCACCTTGGGAGTTGCCCTTCGAGTCAGAAGATAGTGGGGGAAGCAGGGGTAGAAGCTTGAAGGGGTGCGCTTGGGAGGTTTGAGCGAGTCAGCCTGGAATCTGCATAAATCACTTAGAGTTATTTTCCGACGGCAGGAATTCAGTCACGTCGCTGCCTGTGACTGCAAGGGAGGTTGGGAGATGTGACGTAGCTGAGTGCTCTGGACTGAATTTGGTGAACCGTCAACAGTCTGCCACAGGGCTAGCCATAACCGCGCTGACGCCTTAGGTGAAATAAGTTCATCTTGCTCGGTTTGAGTTCTTAATGTATGTCACATACTGTACTGTTTGTTTGTATAAATAGAGGGAAATAAACAAAGTACCTTTCCTCGAGTTGAGTGCTATGTGATAGAATAACAAAGAAAAGTTAAGATCGTGTCGTCCAGAAACCTTTTCTCTGGAGATGTAAGACATGTGCAAGAGTGAGTCTGTTAATTAGTGCCAGAAATGAAAGCTGTCCAGGACAGGTGACCTAGGAAGGAATTTAGCCCTCACGTCGAACCACTGCTAGGTAAACGCTTTCACGTATTTCTTTATGCTTCAGTGTTCTCATTTGTACAACAGTAGGAAATGGTACCTACCTGAGAACGGTCATGAGGATTAAGTGAGATAATACACGGAAGGCACTTTGAACCCTGCATGACAACAGTACATGGAAAGCTTTTAATACTAACTTCAGAATGACAGTGATTATATGCATTATCTCATTGGATCGTCACAACTTCATGGATAATTTCTTAGCCCTATGTTTAAAAACAAATCTGTGCTTACAGAGGTGATTTATTTGCTTGAGGTCCCCAAACTAGTGATTAAATGCCAGAGCTAGCGTCGGTACCTGGATTCTGTCTGGCTGTCTGGAGTCGGTCTTTCCTCCTGTACTTGATGCCTGTGAGTAAGGACCGAAGAAACTTGGCACTGGGGCCTGTGGGGAACTAAAGAATGGCTGAGATTTTGGTTTGGTGGAGGGGGTGAGAAAAAGCATTCCAGGTGGGCCGGGCGTGGTGGCTCAAGCCTGTAATCCTAGCTCTCTGGGAGGCCGAGGCGGGCAGATTGTTTGAGCTCAGGAGTTCGAGACCAGCCTGAGCAAGAGCGAGACCCCGTCTCTACTAAAAATAGAAAGAAATTAATCGGACAACTAAAAATATGTAGAAAAAATTAGCCGGACATGGTGGCGCATGCCTGTAGTCCCAGCTACTCGGGAGGCTGAGGCAGGAGGATCGCTTGAGCCCAGGAGTTTGAGGTTGCTGTGAGCTAGGATGACGCCATGGCACTCACTCTAGCCCGGGCAACACAGTGAGACTCTGTCTCAAAAAAAAAAAAAAAAAAAAAAAAAAAAAAAAAAAAGCATTTAGTAGCAGATCACATGACTCTTTTTATTAAGGTTGGTGCAAAAGTAATTGTGGTTTCAGACCGTGAATTTAAAATTATCATAACTAGGCTCAAACATGTCTTTATTAATCAAAATAGGAACCATTACAATCAACACATTTTTGCCAACGAGAAATAAGTTTATTTCTGTAGCCTAAAAGTCTGTGCTTTGTGATTTGAAAAAGTCTTGGAAAGCATTTTCTGCATCCTGTTGGTTGTGGAAGCATTTTCCCTGCAAAAAGTTACCGAGATGCTTGAGGAAGTGTTGGCGAGAGGTCCCGTGAGTATGGCTGATGAGGCAAAACTTTGTAGCCCAGTTCGTTCAACTTTGGAAGCGTTGGTTGTGCGACGTGCGGTCAGGTGTGCAGTCGGGCGTCGTTGTGGAGAAGAATCGGGCCCTTTCTGTTGACCGATGCCGGCTGCAGGCGTTGCGGTTTTCGGAGCATCTCATCAATTTGCTGAGCACACTTCGCAGATGTAATGGTTTCACTGGGATTCAGAAAGCTGGAGTGGATCAGACAGGCGACAGACCACCAAACAGTGACCGTGACCTTTCTTTGGTGCAAGTTCGGCTTCGGAAAGTGCTTTGCAGCTGCTTCTCGGTCCAGCCACTGAGCTGGTCATCGCAGTTTGCTATATAAAATCTGCTTTTTGTCGCCTGGCACAATCTGATCAAGAAATGGTTCATTGTTTTTGCGTACAGTAAGAGAAGATGACACTTCAAAATGATGTTTTATTTGATTTTCGGTCGGCTCATGAGGCACCCACTTACCAAGCTTTTTCACCTTTCCAATTTGCTTCAAATGCTGAACAGCCATAGAGCGGTCGATGTTGAGTTCTTTGCCAATTTCTCGTGTAGTTGTAAGAGGATCAGCTTCAATGATTGCTCTAAATTGCTCGTTGTCAACTTCCGATGGCCGGCCACTGCGCTCCTCATCATCAAAACTCTTGTGTCCTTTGCAATCTTGAACCACCACTGACTGCACTGTACATTCATTAGCAGTTCCTGGGCCAAATGTGTTGTTGCGAGTTGTCTCTGCTGCTTTATGACCCATTTTTGAACTTGAATAAGAAAATCGCTCGGTAACTTGTGTCCCTGTTATCATTTATTTTGGAGAATCTTTAGATTTCCATCTGGATCTTCTCCTTGACCCAGTAGTCATTCAGCAATGGATTGTTTAATTTCCATGACTGTGTGTGGAGGCGAGTGTTTCTGTTGGAATTGATCTGTAATTTTATTCCACTATGGTCTGAGAAGATACACGGTATAATTTCTATTTTTTAAAATTTGTTGAGCTCTGTTTTGTGGCCTAGGATGTGATCAATTTTAGAGATAACAGGGACAAAATATACACTGACAATAAGGAGACAGAAATATACATACCTGGGGAAAAGAATCTCTGTTCAATAAATGGTGCTGGGAAAGTTGGATAGCCACCTGCAGAAGATTGAAACTGGATCCCAACTTCTCAACTCTCACAAAAATCAACTCACAATGGATAATAGACTTAAACGTAAGATATGAAACCTTAAGAATTCTAGAAGAAAATTTGGAAAAACTCTTACAGACATCGGTCCAAGCAAAGAATTTATGAAGAAGACCCCCAAAGCAATCACAGCAGCAACAAAAATAAATGAATGGGACCTGATCAAATTAGAAAGCTGCACAGCCACGGAAACTGTCATTAGAGCGAATAGACAACCTACTGAATGGGAGAAAATATATGCATGCTACACATCCGGTAAAGGGCTGAAAACTAGAATCCATATAGAAAATTAAGAAAAAATCCAACAACCCCATTAAAAAGTCAAAGGACATGAACGGAAACTTTGCAAAAGAAGACAGAATAATGGCCAGCAAATGTATAAAAAAAGAGCTCAACATCTCCAATCATCAGGGAAATGCAAATCAAAACCACAATGAGATACCACTTAACTCCAGTGAGAATGGGTTTTATCAAAAAGTCCCAAAACAACACATGTAGGCGTGGATGTGGAGAGAGAGGAACAATCACACACTGCTGGTGGGACTGCAGATTAGCACAACCCCTGTGGAAAGTAATTTGAAAAATATCTCAAAGAACTAAAAATAGAACTTACCATTTGATCCAGCAGTCCCACTACTAGGCATCTACTCAAAGGAAAAAAGTCATTTCATAGTAAAGACATCTGCACACAAATGTCTGTGGCAACACAATTCACAGTTGCAAAGATGTGTAGACAACCCAAATGCCCACGAATACATGAGTGGATTAATAAAATATGTTATATGTATACCATGGAATACTTCTCAACCATAAAAAACAATGGTGAACTAGCACCTCTTGTATCATCCTGGGTGGAGCTAGAGCCCGTTCTTCTAAGTGAAGTATCACAAGAATGGAAAAACAATCACCACATACACTCACCGTCAAATTGGTACTAACTGGTCAACGCTTAGGTGCTCACACGGAAGTAGTATTCGTTGGGTGCTGGGCAGGTGGGAGGGGCGTGGAAGAGTTGGGTAAATTCATAACTAATGGGTGCAGAGCGCACTTTCTGGGGGACGGGCATGTTTGTAGCTCTGGCTTGGCCGATGCATAGGCAATATATATATGTAACCAAAAGGTTTGCACCCTCATAATATTCTGAAATTTTAAAAAAGAAAATAAATTAAAAAAAAAGAAAATTGCTCACATTTGCTTTTTGTCTGACATCATTTCCATAGTCTAAAATAAATAACCCCAAGTAATAAGTCATTAGCAAAAAAACATAAAGCAAGAAGTGCACATTAAAATGGTGTATAACGTAACCACATTTATTTAAGAATGTATCCCAGTATGAAACAGCAAATTTCAACAGTGCTAAAACCGCAGTTACTTTTGCACCAACCTGGTCTTTAAGCTGTGACTCATGCTTGAAGTAAAAGCTAGCAACAGAAACAGGTAACACTTCATTCCTTCGCGATAAGTCCCGTAATCGCCTGAATGTCTGTTCCCTTTCAAAGAATGGAAGTAGCTATTGTGCTTACAGCGGTGCACGTCTGAGTGTTTGTATAAGAGAAAGTGCAGGGGAGGGAATGAGAAGAGTCCCCTTGCAGAGGCAACAAACTTGGGTTTAGAGATGGATGAGAGAGGGACAGACAGACAGAGACTGACCGACTGAAGACAGTAGCATTATGGTGGGAAGGGATCTGGGCGACGGTGGTGTTAGCAAAATATCGTGCCCCCGATGTACAAGAGACGCTGCCCGAGTTTCCTATCAAAGCATTTAATTAGATGCCAGACACAATTCTGAAAAAAGAAGCAAGGACCAGGTATACTTCATTTTTATATATTTGATATGTTTGTGAAGAGTCAAGTGTAAATCGGGTTCATGTAAGTCAAAATACGCTGTGATCACTTCAGGGAAGTGTGAAAAGAAACGGCTGAGGGATTTTTTGTATGGCGGAGATACCTTTTGAAATGTAAATAATCTGTTCTTTGGTTTGTAACTCTATATTCCCAACCCAAATGAGGGAGGAACCAGGAAACTGTTGTGTAACTTTCCCCCTTCTATGTAAGAGAAGTCCTTGTTAGGTGCGAGTGTATTTGCTTCTTTATTTAAGTCGTTAATGGTTGGGGAGTAATGACGGGCGCATCCCGCATTTGAACGTACAGGCACACCTTGGAGCTACCACGTGTTGGGTTCCAGACCGTTGCAGTAAATTAGGGGAAATATTGCAATAAAGTGAGTCTCATGAATTTCTTGGTTTCCCAATGCATATAAAAGTTGTGATTACACTATGCTGTAGTCTGTTAAGTGTGCAGTGACATTGTCTAAAAAAACGTACATACCTTAAATAAAATAGTCGTATTTAAATAAAAAATACTTCATTGCTAAAAAAAGCGAATGATCGTCTATCAAACCTTTAACGCGTGGTGATCTTTTTGCTGGTGGAGGATCTTGCGAAGATCTTGCTGGTGGTGGCTGGCGGGAGTTGGGGTGGCTGTGACAGTTTCCTAAAATAAGGCAACGGCGAGGTCGGTCACATCAGCTGACTCTTCTTTCATGGAAGATTTCTCTGAAGCACGTGATGCTGTTCGATAGCATTTTAGCCACAGTGGAACTTCTTTCATGTTAGTAATTGGAATCAATCCCCTTAAACCCTGCAGCTACTTTATCAAGTAGGTTTATGCAATAGTTTAGTCTCAATCTTTTATTGTCGTTTCAGCAGTGTTCACAGCATTTCATCAGGATTAGAATCCATCTCAATAAGCCACTTCCTTTGCTCATCCCTAAGAAGCAACTCGTCATCCATTCAGATTTTATCAGGAGATGGCAGCTACTCGGTCCCATCTTCAGGCTCTGCTTCTAATTCTAGTTCTCCTGCTGCTTCCGCCACAGCTGCAGTTACTTCCTCCACTAAAGTTTTGAAACCCTTAAAGTCAAACATGAGGGTTGGGATCAACTTCGTCCAGACTCCTGTTCATGTTGATATTTTGACCTCCTTCCATGAGTTACGAATGTTTTTAATGGCATCCAGAATAGTGAATCCTTTCCAGGAAGTTTTCAGTTTACTTTGTTCCAGATCCGTCAGAGGCCTCGCTGTCTGTGGCAGCTATGGCCTCACAAAATGTATTTCTGAAATAATAAGACTTGAAAGCAGAAATTACTTCTCGATCCATGCGTGGGCTGCAGAATGGATAGTGTGTTAGGCATGCAGACAACATCCAACTCCTTGTACATCTCTGTTAGAGCTCTTGGGTGACCAGGTGCGTTGCCAGGTAGCAGTAATATTTCGAAAGGAGTCTTTTTTTCTGAGCGGTAGGTCTCAACAGTCAGCTTAAAATATTTGGTAAACCTTACTATAAATAGATGTGCTGTCATCTAGGCTTTGTTGTTCCACTTCTAGAGCATGGGAAGAGTAGACTTAGCATAATTCTTAAGGGCCCTAGGATTTTTGGAATGATAAATGAGCATTGGCTTCAACTGAAGAGTCACCAGCTGCGTTAGTCTCTAACTAAAGTCATCCTGTCCTTTGAAGCCAGGCATTGACTTCTCTCTAGCTGTGGAAGTCCTAGGTTGTATCTTCTTCTAACAGAAGGCTGTGTTATCCACAAACAGATTAGAAGCTATTGTTTAGTGAGCCACCTTTATCAGTTATTTTAGCTAGATCTTCTGGATAATTTGCTACAGTTGCTATATCAGCACTTGCTGCTTCATCTTTCACTTTTGAGTTTATGGAGATGGCTCCTGTCCTTAAACCTGGTGAACCAACCTTCGCTAGCTTCAAACTTGGCTTCTGTAGCTTCCTCACCTCTCTCAGCCCTCATAGAATTGAGAGATTTAGGGCCTTGCTCTGGGTTAGGTTTTGGCCAAGGGGATGTTGTGGCTGGTCTGATCTTCTTTCCATCCAGACCACTCAAACTTTCTCCATCTCAGCAGTAAGGCTGTTTCACTTTTTATCCTTCCTGTGTTTACTGAAGTATCACTTTTCATTTCCTTCAAGAACTTTTTCTTTGCATTCACTCCTTGGCTCACTGACACAAGAGGTCTAGCTTTTGGCCTATCTCAGCTTTTGACATTCCTTCCTCACTGCGCAGAATCGTTTCTAGCTTTTGATTTAAAGTGAGAGATGCATGACTCTCTATTTCACTCGAACACTTAGAGGCCACTGCAGGGTTATCAGTTGGCCTGATTTCAATATTGTTGTGTCCCAGGAGTAGGGAGGCCAAGGAGAGGGAGACAGGTTGATGGTGGAGTAGTCAGAATACAAAACGTTTGTCCATTGGGTTTGCCATCTTACGGGCGTGGCTCGGGTTGCCCCCAAACAGGAGCAATAGTAACGTCAAAGACTACTGATTACAGATCACCGTAACAGGTATAATAATAATGAAAAAGTTTGAAATATTGTGGACTTAGCAAAGTAAGACACAGAGGCATGAAGTGAGCATGTGCTGTTCACCGATAGACTTGCTCAGTGCAGGGTCGCCACAAACCTTTGTTCAGAAAAAAAAAAGACGTGCGGTATCTGTGAAGCACAATAAAACGAGCTATGTCTGCATAGCACGGTAATGTCTGCATAGCACGGTAATTACGTGAGCTGGACAGCAGAGCAGGCACAGATTTTTTAAAAAGTACCCGGCATAGTGTCTGCGATAGTGCAGTCCCACAGAAAATGTCTATTGTTGTTGAGCGAGATATGCTGAGAAGCTGAAACTCGAATAGTCTGAATGAGTCGGAGCTGTAACTTTGCTGCTATAACGACGGCTTAGTGGCAGAAACACTAGTGGAACTTAGAGTCTCCGTGTGAGTGCCGTCCAGCCGAAGTATACCACGCGGCACATATGTAACGTCAGATTTTCTAGTAGCTGCATTAAAAAGGTAAAAAGAAATAGCTGAAATTTAACTTAATGGTGTATTTAACGCAGTGCATTCAGAATATTAGCATTTCAAAATTAATCCACGTAAAAATTACCGAGATACATATTACATGCCGTTTTAGTGTTGGAAATCAGAGCGTGTCTGCGCTGCTGGGCCACCTCCGTCTGGCGGGCCGCTTACTCAAGCGCTCGGTAGCCGCACGTGGCCAAGCACGCTTCTAGATTCCTTTGTCCTTTCGTCTTCGCGACACCACGCTGACACTCTTGCTGTTTCCTTTCTGATATCCCGTCTCCCAATTTGTGTATTAAATTGCACGTCAGTTTGAAAGGAAGCTCGTGAGATTAGAAATGAAAAGTCAAAAAAATTTTTTGTCCTTAAGATTTTATAACTGTTGAGAAACTCCAGAGTTGACACCTGCAGGACGTGTATCCTGGCAGTACCCGAGACGATGGAAAGTAGCGCGGTACCTGCTCACCCGCAAAGACGCCGGAAGGCGAACGTGTAGGTGAGATGAGACTAGACCTAGAGCGAGTGGAGTTTTGTAGACGCGGCCTCGGGGGACACCGTTGCCACTCGTTAGCAAAGGTGATCTTGACAGCGTCACAAAGGAACCAGAAAGGCCGGTGCCTCTGCCATCTGGTGGCCAGGCCGAGCAGCGCGGGCGTTCGCTTAGCTGATACCCGTATATTGATTCTTATTTTTTGATTTGAAATTCGAACTGCTTCTCTATTTTTGTCTGAAATTGCCTAAAAAGTCCCATCTCTATTTATAAAAAAGTATGGCCTTTTTGGGGCAATGGCAAATCTGGATACTTTAATTCGTAATTATGTCTCTCATGTTGGTTCTGAAAAATACTCCCCATTAGCAAACTTGGACAAAAAAGAGGTAAAAAATTATTTGGAAGGAGAAATGGAATTTTTTTTTTTCAAATCGAATAGTCTCCTCAGCATTTAAAACAAGTAGGTTACTGTCAAAGGTAGGTTTATTTCCTTTTGAAGAGAAAAATAAGACAGTGAATAAAATGTTATGAAAATCATGTAGTTTCTATGGACGGGGCCCCTATACACAAAAATACATACACCCTCAAAAGGGTAGGAGACTTCTGGCATAATCTGAAACCATTTGTTCTCCTTTAAACTTCCATACCTGGGTGAGTAATGGAACGTTGCTTGGTTCTGGGATTGTGGTTCCAATCCTATAAATGGTGACACTCTTCCTTGTATGGAAGTGGTGATCATGTCGCAAATCCAGCCTACGAATATGTATATTTTCCTAGAGAAAACACAAGCAGAGTGAAATGTGCCTAGAACAGTGTGGGCCCCAGCGTGGGCGGTTTGCCAGCGCGCCGCCCGTCTGTTGGGTGATGTGCTTGAATGGAATCAGGAAGGAAGTAATTAGTTTAAGGATCACCGATGGGAATGGAAGTTGTGTGCTCTCGCGAGTTGGCTGTTCAACAAGACACTGTTGGTATGCCATCTTTTGAGATTTTTTTTTTCTTTAATTTCAGAAAATAAAGCAGTCGGAGTGATGAAGTCGGGCCACGTCTTTACAATTGAGCCAATGATTTGCGAAGGTGAGAAAAAAGATGCAGCGATGTTCTTTAATGGAATTTTACGTATTTTCGGTTGTTCATCAGATCAGTGACCTGTTCTGCTCGCTTGCTCTTGCTGCTTTCCCACCCCCTGTTCCTTCTCAAACTGGATTCACCGTCATGTGGAGAACTGAAAACGTTAAGGTTGGCAAGAAAGTCACAGAGATGCTGTCGGGGCGCATCGTGATGGTTAGGGGCCACGTCGAGCCTGCGTGGAAGTTCTTGCTCGACGTGGGCGGGGGCAGTGGAGGGAAAAAGCATTCGTCGAGCACCCGCTTTGAGGCAGACACAGTTACAGGATTCAGTTGTCACCGCTGCTGAGTTAGGTGTGACTCCCGTTGTACCGAGGAGCAAAGTAACCCTTGAAGAAGGGGAGAAGTGACTTGCCCCAGTCATTTAGCTGATGGCGTGGCAGCGTTTGTCGTCCTCTTCAGGGTCGTGGGACGTCATGTAGGGGGCAAAGCACGGCACAGACACCCGTAACCCTGGTAGCCAGTGTGTCCCTACTGTTGTTACTCCCTGTGACAGGCCTGTCGCAGTGACAGAAGACTTGGTGTCATAATGAGGGCTCCTGACCGAGACTGTCAAAGTGAGCGTAGTATAGTGATCGGAGCAAGCTTTCTGCTGGTTCTTCTCGGGGAACGGACTCAAAGTGAGGTGACAGCAGTGGGCTCGTGTGTCCTGTGCCCTCGCTGCGTCCATCCAGTCTTTCTGTAACCAGTCTTGGGAGAGACTCCCGTGTTCTCTTTCTCAGTAGCGAGTCGCCGATCCCGCCTCCACTTAAGGAGAGGTGGGGTTCGCTGGGGGCCACGTTAGAGGTTGGTTGCCTTCTTAACCTGATTCGTTACTGCCTTTTCTGCGTAACGTAAATTGTGACCCCTATCTTGCCAACACACAGGGCTGCAGTGAGAACTAGGTGAGATGATTTATATTGTATCAACATTAACCACTTTGCATACTTTAAAGCAGTCGTCTGCAGCCTTTCTGGCACCAGGGGCCGGTTTCATGGAGGACAGTGTCTCCGTGGATGGGGGGCGGTGGGGAGATGGCGAGGGGCCGTAAATACAGATGAAGCTTCACCCGCCCGCCCACTGCTCACCTCCTGCTGTGCGGCCTGGTTCCTAACCGGCCTGCACCAGGACCGGTCCGCAGCTTTAAAGGACTGCACAAACGTAAGGTCGTGTTCTTGTCATCCTCGTGGAATAAGAATAAAGTTCCGATCATGTGCAACCAGTTGTCAGGGCAGCAGCGTATTAGTGTTCTCAGGAGTAATCGGATGACTTTCTGTAGGGCCGGTGGAGACGATCATCAGCTTACGGCAGACGTTCTGCAGCGTAACTGAGGTTAAATCCCAGCTCTGGAACGCAGAGTCTCGTATCGAAAGGGAAATTCACTCAAAAGAGTAGCCGAGTATGTTTGACTTGACATCATTAAAAATCTGTTTGATCAGATCACAATAAAACCAAAGTAGTGATATCTTAAACCCACTTACGGGAAGGTCATTACGCTGAGAAATATCTATTTACTCATCTTGAGACGCTGGACGAGGCACGAGTTAACTTTCCTTAAGCTGCCTCGTACTTTCTTTTTAGCCTGGATTTAATACCGTACAAGTAGATTCCTTCACACACAGTTTATGTGCTGGGATTTGTCTGTGTGAGTCGGCGAGTCCTAAAGTACTGTGTTTCACCTAAAGATTACTGAAAATGAAGAACGTATTGATTTTTTGACATCTAATTTTGAAACCCGAAAGCTCCGTAAAGACGTATTTTTCTAGTAATATCCAGAACTGCTGAACTTTCTCATTCCACCCGAGCCTCCGATTCTCTGGGCCTCATCTTTCCACTTTCCCTGCATGGAGCCCCCATGCGCCCTCCCCGACCGTCCATTCATTGTCTCGCAGCTGCTTTCGCCGTCCCTTTACTTCTCTAGTTGCAACTCCTCCTGCCCGCTCTGCTACATAATACTTTCCTTATCCTCTTGTACCAATCTCGTTCTCCTCCTTTCTGGTTCCAGGGGTGGGGTCTACAAAAATTTCGCAGTATAATCTGTTCTCACCATCTGATTGTGTGCCTGTCATTTTGAAATTGTATCAGGAATTAAATGCTACAGTAAAAGTATAAAAATGTTACGCGATTTCCTGCACAATATACACCAGCTAGTCAGATGCCAGAGCTATACCAGGAAAGAGCTAAATTAATTCAAGTTTTTACTCATAGTTGTGTGGTGAGCGTGATCAATGCGTTTTCTAAAACGAAATGCAGCGCCTTTATTTTGGAAATTCTGTCTCGATTTAATATTTGGGAAATATAAAAAGTGTGAAGTTGTAACACACCCGAGGCAGTTTAAACATCATTACTTTATTGATACTCAGACAAAAATGAAGTTGGAAAGGCCTGAGCCAAAATAATTGAAGTGTGAATAGGATCTTAATGGTAAATTTCCTGCTTGGTGTTCTTGTTGATATGCCCTTACTGAGAGAGCTTATTTGGAAAACTGAGCCATCGGATTAAGACGCTGTTTCTGTTTGCTAAGGCGGATGGCAGGACGAGACCTGGCCGGACGGCTGGACTGCGGTGACGAGGGACGGGAAGCGGTCGGCCCAGTTCGAGCACACGCTGCTGGTCACGGACACGGGCTGCGAGATCCTCACCCAGCGGCTCGATAACGCGCGGCCTCACTTCATGTCCCAGTTTTAATTTCTCCCACGATGGCACGTCTCAGTGACACCTTCTTGCTGTACTGTGCATTTCACCGAGAGTACAGACAGGAGCCTTTTTTATCACTTGTTTTGTTTTGGCCGTAGATAAGAAAGGACTGCAGCGTTGGACGCGTGTCCTCAGGGCCTCGCCTGGGGTCTGGAAAGCTGCGAAGAATAAAGGAAACGGTGCCCAACTCTGCCCCCCCCCCCCAATCTCTCTCTGCACCTGTCCTCATCTGTCCTCCAAGCACTTTTACCAAACCTGCTTCTAGTTGCTTCTATCACTGCCACGAACCGGCCAAGAGCCAGCTGCTTTTCAGGTGAACGCTGCAGATGAGAATCCTTGAAACTTTAGCAATATGTGTTGCGCCAGATTTTTAAAATGATATATATGGAGATATATACGTGCACATTTTAAACTCCACCCACGTCGTTAGCAAACACGACGGGACCCGGGGCTGCGTTGGTTCTGCTGGGACCGGCTGACGTGCTGTTGTAAGCGGACGCTCGGTGCGCAGTGGTTGAATTCCTGGTCGGGAATTGTCCCTCCCCTCCCCCCACCCCATGCTGATTGTCTACACTCGCGGTTGTGCGTAGGGCAGCACGCACTGAGATTTTCTCCAGTGCGCACTCCGTGTGTGTCGGCGAACGAACGGGGTAAAATTCACTTTGGAAGAAGGTTATCAGGCTTTTAAAAGTCTAGGTTTTGCAAAAAATGACCGTGCTCCAAGTGGTGGCGGCTGTCGCAGGGCACGAGAATTCTGTACCACACTCGGCTTCAGACCTGCGCTTGGGCAGAAGCGGGAGAGGAAAAGTCCCTTCTGTTCCCTTCTCTGTTTCAT